TTTTTCTAGACTGCGTCATTTTTAAACAAATCCCACCACATGACTTTTATATAACGATCAAAACGTAGCTAATTTCTGAACTTAAACGGAAGCCTTTCTTTTAATATGCCTGGATCCACACTAGAGAATTATACATTGCATTTGCTCTCTGCACTTTCGCCTAGAGAGATTGCTGTTCTCTGTTTCCCTTCTTCCGCATAGCTATCAAAAATGTAAATGTTTTTGAAATAGGAACGATTACAGTAATAAGTGAATTGTGGCCACAAAATATCAATTGAAGTAATAATGAAAATTTAATCTTTCTCGGCTGCCAAGTTTGCTGTTATTATGGATGTCCGTCTATGCAAACGTTCAATACAAATAAAAAAAAATGAATGCATAAAATCTGCTACGACTGCTTCTTATTATATCTGTTACACTGCAACTATGCTTTCATGTCTCATGTCTGCAACATTCCCAAATCATTACATATATATGTATGGATGTATATGTGTGTATGTGTGTATGCGTTAAAATGTATGAAGAATGTATTAAATGATTATTACTAAACATAAATACTCTAAATCAATGCATAGCTAAGTCACTCACCCGATCATTTCTCTTTGAAATAGTAATTGAACTTGATTTACAAAATACTGACTGACAACTACATATCACAAAAAGATCTTGTCGCGCAATAATGAATCATCTTATCGAGCTCTTTCTAAGTTTGTTCAGTGTTGTCTAGATTTTAAATATTACATAAATTTTCATCCTTAAGGCACGGTTATGTTAAAATACCAATTAAAGGAAGTTTATGTTAAGTAGAGTCAGTTAATTAAACTAAAACCTGGCTAACTGAAAGAAAAACACGCTAGTGTAAAATTTACAAATTAGAATAAAAATGAAACTTTGATCAGCGCAGACTTTAAATTAAACTGTGTTGATTTTTAAAGCTCTTGTGGCATATGTACCTACATCCATCTTTTTAAGCAGGAACATACAAACCCCCCCCACCAAAAAAAAAAAAATCAAAGAGGTACCTAGAAAAGAAATCTTTTGCTCCTGAAGAAGACGGTAAGTTCATATCCCCCTCAAAACCGGTCAAGTTTTATTGAAACTCTAAGTCAATATGTTTCTCTTTTCGCCTAATTTTGCCTAAAACGTAGGCATTTTACTTCTTATCTATTTCACACAAGAATGAGCATTCTGATCTTACTATTATTCATATGTAGCGACCGCTTTGAATGGTGTCTTGAGTTACGGAAATACGAATTCCTTTTTGCAGCGGAATCTTTTAGTAAAAGAAAAAGTTATGTGTATGCAGCTTCAAATTTTGTTAGTAAAATAGGTTCTTACAAAGGAAGAAAAATTTCGAACTTTAAAGCCCTAGACAGACAGAGAATAAAAAAATACTCAAGGCACTCCGCTAAAGCACACCCTCGGCATCTTTGTTGTCGCAGTAAAAAGCCTTAAAAAACCTGAGAGTACACATTCGAAAGCTTCGATACACGTTCGAAGTGAGTTAAATAAATCTATTTTAACATTGCTGTGCAACCCCGAAAACAAAATGAAAAATAAAAGTATCCAAGAATTCAATAACATGAAAAGAAAATCAAATAAATACAAAAAGGACTCCCTGCTTGTGACTCGGAAGTCACTCAAGATACTGAGTTGTTGCAAATATTTTTAGTCCACAGAAAGGACGTGAACAGTGCAAAGTTATTTTTAAAAAGATACTACTATCTTGGACCTTTTTCTGCTCATGGAATACTTCATAAATAAAAAAATACAAACCAGGTTTTGCTTTGTAGCGATAAAATAATTTTTGTTATGTGCCCAGCTACGTCAATGCTCCTTTATCCGCACCAAGTAGGATCGTTGATTTATTTTTTCCCATTTGGATGATACACGGATGCGAACTTGCAAATGAATGTGGAAAGACAAGATTAATAATAAGAATTATTCGCCTTTCGTTGAACCATTTTTTTTATTATTATTATTTCGTTACATGCTCCGTTAAGCATTACACGGAAAGGGAGGAATGAGGAGTGGAAGACATTTTAAGGGATATTAGATAGTATCCACGTTACGCATGGGGAAATCCGCCATGCAATCAACCCGCTGGCCGGGAATGGCCGAAGCCCAGAAAGAAATACCAGTGTTCAGAAACTTTTATCGCTCGGCTGCTGTCCCTTCCCATGTCACATACTCATAGACTCTTTCTAATTCAAATCATTTATATTTAATCCATTATATGATCTTGTACATACTGCTAAAAAATTTCATTTCTGGATTTTAATTTTTTTTTCAATCAGTCGTTAAAACCAAGGATTTAATAAAACAGTAAATTTATGTGTGCAAATATCCTATGCTTTAGATAAATATTTTTAAAATATAAATTAATATATAAATACAAGAAAGTGAAACAATGTAATTCAGATATTCAAACAAAAGAGATTGGAACTGTAATTAAAGTTTCAAATGATAAACAGCTAATTGGAAGATATAAATTAAATAATTATGTTAGAATATATAAAAATAATCCTAAAATTCATTTCAACGTTTCTTTATATTTCTCAGAAATAAAATAAAATTCTAATTCTTATGAATAAACATATAAGCTGTTCAGAGTATTTAATAAAATAATAGCGCAATCTTCCTCTTTTCCCATAACCGGTAAATATAGAGAGTATAAAATTTAATTCGTATCAACCTGATTATTAACACGAATCCAGATATTTAATTAGTATTAAAAATCTTTTTAGGTGTTTATTTATTTAAATATTTGTATCAGCGTTAACTCAAAATTGCTATTTTTTTTATACATCAGAATTGAAATTAAAAATGTTATTATGAGTAGAAGGAAAAAATTAGCAAATAGATTTTGTTAGTACAGTTCATGCTAAAATTAAACTATTTGAACAGAATTACTCATCTTATAATAATCAATTTTGGTTTTGTAATTATTTAATATTTCTTTATTTTGAGGATAAACAATCTTGTGCTTTATAATATTAGACTAAAGAAAAAGTTTAGCATAAACTTAACATAAAATATATTGCTAACTGCAGTCCATTGCTCGTTTTTTTTTTCAAAATGTTGTTGTTATTGCTAATAATATTAGTAGAAACTATAATATTATGGGCGAACGTTGAAGTACTTGATCAAAGGAACAAAATGAAATCAAAGGAAAGAGATTCGGAACAGTTTTTTTAGTTGCTTAAAAAGAATGAAATCGAAGATAGTTATGATCCTGCACGTTGTTGGACCAGAAGAGAATTTTAGATGCTTCTGAGAAATTGATATTTAAAATGCAAATATTTATAAACAATAATTTTTGTCTCTGAAAGCTAACATTCATCTCAGAAAGGAACATTTTTTAACATAATCACCCTTGAATGAAGGTCAAGTATTTCATTTTTCACACTCGAAATTTTTATTTTATTGATATATTTAAGGAATACAAGAAAATGGTATTGTTGAAAATATTTAAAAATGATGGAACTAGTTTTAGTTGAAAGTCAAAAAGATAACAGAAGCTAAAATATTTTCATTTATATAATCTAAAGTTGAAAGAAACGAAGATCTGGAATGTTTATTATATCCCATGTCTGTGATGGAAGACGGGTAGCAGTGTAAAACTGCAATTCCTTGCAGAGTATTAAGTTATTTTGTCAAAGTGTCGTATAAATGAATTGCTCGAAGAATAAGAGCATCTATGGACGGACCACACAAAGATACGAAACTCGCATGTGCGGTCCTTTCTCCAGTCGTAATCTTCGAGTTGTTACGAGGTGTGAGACGACACGTTCTGACATTACAGAAGCAATATTTTATTCAATAATGTCTCCATTTGATATTACAAAAGCCATAACTTCACGACCAGTGTCAAGACATTTTAGCGAATTTGTCATGAAATACTCTCGATTTTATGGGGCTGACCAAGCAATTATTCTGCAGCTCCTTTGATATCATCTTCGGCTCAGGGGCGATGCAGACGCTGTTCTCGGGTACCCGCCATTATTTTCGCCATTCCAGTATAACTAGACTAGAGACTTTCGAACACATAAAAGTTCCTAATTCAGTAAGAGTGTGGTAAAGTCCTTAGTCATGGAAGTGGCAATTAAGCATATCGTGAGTAAACGTTCACACGTCGTATCTCATCAGAGATGATTAGTAACCAAAAAGAGACTATGCACAGTCCTAGCTGCCGACAGTCCAATTCAGGCAATGAAAAACTGGAAGTGTTTGGCTATAAAGAATTTGTGGATGTACAACACAACTGAAAACTTAAAAGATCGTACATAACTCAATTAGTCTGCAAAATGTTTCAAATAATGCAAGTACATAGAACGCTCTGAAGCTCTCGACTAGACAGATTCTTGCGTCTAGAAAGATCCTCTCAGAATGTGAAAAATAATTACATTTACTCTCTGAATAATTGCTAAATACATTAAATATTGATAATGAATTTGTTATTATGATATATTAATAGTGCTTTGTGTAGATTTGTATTTAATACGGTTTCTGTTCTGTTGCAGTTAATGCGCAACTTAATCAAAACGCAGCTAACATCAGTCATTATAATTGATTCGTCCCACCAGCACCTCAAACAAATTTCCTATTTCTATGTAACGGCAGAGCGAACGTGTGGTGAAATGGGTCACGAAAACCTTATTATGAAATTCAATGTCAGATTTAGAAATCAGTGTATGCAAGAAAGGGGAGATAACAGGTGAATTCAAATTCAAAGGTTAATTTTGTCTTCTGTGTGTTTGGTGCGGGAAGCTACAATATAGGTCAGGTGGCTTGTTCCAAAGAGAGTACATGCATAGTTACATACCGTATCCAAAAATGCAAATTAAACATTCTCAAAATTCTCTTTTCAAAGCAGTGAAGGGTTCCTGGAAAATATTAACTTAAACTGCGATGGTTGTTTTAAAATAAATAAATAAATTGGAATTGCATAATGCGATTGTTTTCAATAAATTGTGAATTATGTGTTTTTCTTTTTACAGTTATCGTCATGTGTGCTTCTCCTGATTCCATTCGGGAAATAATGCTAACTGCTGATGACCTCGGAATGGTAGACAGTGGAGAATATGTTTTCTTCAGCGTGGAACTCTTCACCAGGTAAGAGTACTATTGTGGAATCTTTATGATTACTATCACCGCCATGAAACTGTCTATAATAACAAGAAAGAGGAGGAAATATAAATGAAGCTTAATATTAACACATATATTAAATAAAGGAATTTCCGAAGTTGTAGCCTGATAAGGAAGTAAACCTAAAGTTATATCAATTCGCATGACAAATAACGGAAATGTTGTAATCATATCTTGATCATCTGAATGTTCCAAACAAGAATTACTTAAAACTTCATTAACTCTTTAAGCAAAATGTAAATTATTATTTGCGGATGCAGCATATTTGAGAAATAATAGAGCTTTTAAATGTAACGGGCAAATTAATGCGCTGTGAGCTTTTCATATACAAAGGACTTTAAAAGGATCGTTTTCTGTGGCGAAAAGCAGGATCTTTCAAAATTACTAATGCTTTTAAAATGCAAAACTGACATACAAAATTAAATCTACAGAAAGTATAATTTAACAGAACATTCGTTGTTGATTTGCAAGAATGCTATGTATTCGAAAAAGATCTGCCTCGAAATGAATGGAATTTTATTAGTGAAAGTAATAAACCTTTAAATGAATATTTAATTACGATTTCGCAAACTACACGTGCGAAAATCATTAAAGTGTTCCTCCCTTGAAATTAGAACCAGTCCAAATATATGCTGATTCGCATTTTCTAGCTGCCTCAACTTCTGAAATAAATTAACGATAAACTTTTATACGGTGACTTAAAAAGGTGTCTTGCAGTGTGATGGAAATTATCCGTTATCCTCAAATTATGAAATTAAATCTTTAAATTTTTCGCTTATTGGAAAGCATCATTACACCTATAAGAAACATCGAAGCTCAGCAATGGTAAATTGATCTCATTTCCTACGTAAGCTAAATGCTTGAAATCTATAAAAGATACGACTCTGAAATTGTTTTAAAAGTCACCTTATGCATCATTCAACACTGAAGCTGCAACACTACAAACTTCACCAAAATGTAGCTGCATTAAATAGCATGAAACCGTTATCGAGTGCACCTGAATTAAATCATGTGGCTTGAAGTGCCAGGCTTTGAGCTCGTAGACATACCACTTATCAGAGCTAAAGGACAGAGAATGCTTCAGACGGAGAGGAAAGTAATCCTTGAAACAACGCTGAATTCTAAGACCGGCAAATATCATAATAAGCACAAGCTTCAAGTGGAACGGATCATCGGATTAGAAGAGCGACATGTATTCCAGGGAGAGTGAAGTCATTTATGTTAATTAACCAATTATTACGATTTGAAACATTTATTATAAATTCTCCTTTTCGTAGTCCTCCTCAGAATTCTAATTATTCAGCTGAGTATTTAATTCGAGGGTTTTAGATGGTTTAGAGTTACATCTGTTCATGCGATGCGTGCGTTGTTATACAACAATTTCAAATTAACTAGAAGTGGACTGTACTATATTTTATTCGACAACTTTAATCAAATGCGTGCCATCTTTCAAGCGATGACTTACTACTAACAACAACAGCAATAAAAAATAAAACTGAGTAAGCGTTTACAGGGTTGCTGTAATGAACATCTGCGCCATGAAAGGCGCCAAGAAGAGAAAAAATGACGTAATCTTACAGTTAAATAGTCTTAATGACTTAACAACATCTTTTGGCAGCTTCGCTTGCAGTTTACATACTATCGTCAGATCTTCCAGAGATTATTCCGGGTTTAGCCATATTGCTAGCTGACGTTAAATGCGCAACAGTTCAAACTATGTAGCCTCCAACTACGTTACTTGAATCTGAATTTGAACTTATATAATTTTAAATACATCCAATTGCCGTAAGTTATTTGTACGCATAAGTGGTATCTTCTGTTTAATTTAAGAATTTAATGAAAAGCTTACTTTAACCTTCTCATGATTTTGTCATATTAATGCAGCCGAAGGGATAATACGCTTCTCAGTCTAGCAGGATCTGAAGGACTTCTACACAACTGAAACTTTACAACCTCGATATCGCATATTAAATTCAAGACACCCAACTTTGTTTACACAAGCCATCAGAAGCCGCTAGCATGAACTGGCTTGAGAATCAGACGACTAACGACAGACTTTAATGGATCATTAGTGTTAAATGCCACTAGTATCAATGGCTAACAAGGCATACATAAGGCGGAAATGGAGGCCTATTCTGTTTAACAATGCGTTCCCTTCGATCTCGGAAGCAGTGATGGTCAAAACTTAGTCTGGAGACTATATGGCCCATGCCAATAATAATCTTCATGAGAGAACGTCATAACAGAACTGTTTCTGGAAAATGTTGTTTGTAGACATAATGTATGGTAGGCAAAATCTTCTAGATCCTGAATCTCTGCTAACATAGCGTTCTTTTGATATAATCATGGACTGTTTTGGTTTATTTAATTATGGCAAAGCACTTGAGGGCTATTTGCCTCACGGGATGGATGCCTTTGCGTAGGTCTTTCCAAGGGAAACGGCTCGTACACGTTATCCACGAGCAAAATTACGAAAACGCCCACACAGTGAGCCCTTTCTACTACCAATGTTCAGCGACTTTACCACTCTGCCACTGGTGGGTCGATTTCGGTGCTGCAGCTTTGCCTGCAAAGGGTACCAAGAGTTTTTTTATTACAGAAAAACGCTTGGCCGCACATTTTTCGTGCTACTGAGAATAGCTTGTTTGAATTTGAGGCGTTGCCGTGAGCTGCCGCATCTCCGGGCTTATTTGTTTTATAAGACATGGGAGACATTATTATTCGGCTATTTTAAAAGGAAAGATTTGTAGTGGGGCAGAGCTTTTCTCAGACAATAATTAACCCCTTCATTAATAGCATGTCAATGCTTAAAAGTGGGTGTATTTAGGCTCTGGAAGGTCATATTCTATATTGAATAAATTACGATGACTTCAATATATTGTTTCTGAATTTTTCAAGGGTTGCATTTGACCAACAAGTCTATCGATGCTATAAATTTTCAGTATTCACAGTCTTCCCTTCATGATGCAAGTTCAACGTTGAGCAGTGAGTATATGATGTAATTAATAAAACCATTCATAGATGTTACAATCAAAGGAAATATTTCCTTTTAAGAAACTCTCTGTTACAGAAAATCTCCAAGAATTAAGGTATTAAAGTAAGCCGGTAATGCCCATTTAACTCCTCTGAATAAACATCTGAAACACGAAAACAGCCAAAGATTTGCTTGTGAGCATATCTTTTTTATGTTCCTTCACAAACTGAAATGTTAAGAAGCTTTTTTTTATACTTAGTCCAGTTGCAGACTTTTTTTCGGTGTCTGAAACATTAGTAAATAAATTCATTTCATTTTTAGTTTTTTGTTTCCTTTCCCTTTCAATATTTTCACTTTTTTCTTTCCATAATTGCTATTTCTGGCCTTAATGATATCTCATAATTTTTCTTTCATTCTATTCAAGTAAATTAAGCCAAGGTAACGTCTCTGATACGTATACTTAAATGTTAAATTTTTTTAGGAATAAGGGCAAAATTTATGAACTATCATTTGCATTAATAGCATAGGTAATTTTTACGAAAGACTTTAAAAAGAAATACTTCTGTCGAACAAGAAGTTTAGAAATGTGTCTTGAAATTAGTTAGTGTATAATTACCAAAGACTTTATAAAAACGTCTTTCAGGATTTTACATACACACATCACTTTTAGTTAACTCTAATCTATACTTATTCCATTCTTTTTCAAAGCAGCCGAATTAGTTTTACACATTTATTTATACAAAGCGTAAAATTACATCCCTTACTCTGCATAATCCTCGTGTTTTTGCATTTTGTGTAACAAGGTTTCTTACACGGAATGAAAAACCATGGGCAGAATTACGAACATTTTATGCCATTAGTTAAAGGTGAAGTTACTATTTTATTGACTGTTTGCAAAATAATTACCCTGCATTCTTCCAGCTAAGATATGAAACTTACGGTTTTGTAGCCACGAAAAGCAGGAAAGCTCAATTAGTTATTCTGCGTATAACAAAAATCACTCATTTGTAACTGACGGTTATTTATAATTTATCCTTCTGATTGGCAAGGCTGTATATATGCGGTCTAGGATACTTTTCGTGACATATCTAAAAGAGTACATTTACTTGCATCTTGAAATTTCGACAAGAAATTAAAGGCATTTATTAAAAGCACATAAATAAAGGTGAAAACTACCATGGTGATTTTGGCATTAAAATAAAAAATACTTCTTTCTCATTGCACTTTTCGGAAATATGAGGTTTCTTAGCGAACCCTCTGTCGGCTGGAGGGTTACAGGTGATTGATTCTAGTTAGTTGATGATATATTAAAAGTGTGAAATTAAACCATTAATTGCTTATGAGAAATTTTAATAAATTTTAATTTGTATTTTATTTACTTAATTTTGTAATAGAATTATTAAAATTAATGCTATTAAGTTTCACAATTAGTTCGTACAGTACTGTTAATAATTATGGGTTAATATTTATAGTGTTTAAAATATAGTGTGTGAGCATAATAAGTTTTACTAAATATTGTGTGCCATCCAGACGGTGTAGTGAATGCAGCAGCGTACTGCGGTAACGAAGGGTCCGGGTTCAAATCCCGGATAAGGCATTAATGTTTGTAAATGTATAGTGTCTTTGCGACATGGAGACACTCTAAATATATGTTGAGCCGAAAGTCCTCTCAAGGTTAGGGGAAGTGGGGTGGGAGACCCTCGGACCCACTGATGGTAACGGTAGTTGACATTTAGTAATTTAATGACGAAACACGAAGATAACACATAAAAAGAAACAAGAAGAAAATAATAAGTAGAAAGATCTGTCTATGGCATCATAATAATAGAATAATATCATATTAAGCGGAATCACATCATAAAAAAAATTCAGAGTTTCTTTGGTTTTCCAAACTTCATCATCATTCCCGTTTAGTGTCTCGTCTGTCGAAAATGGTCGCGGGATCTTGCTATGAACGCGCTGCCATTATTACTTATAAACAGAAGTATATTCC